TCAAAAACACCGATAGAATCCAAATGTTCACCCCTTTTTCTCAAAATCAATTTAAATTAAATACAAAAATAATCCCTTGTATATGAGGTTTATGATCTTTATAAGGTTTAGAAGCCTTGGATGTTAAAACTAATACTGTAGGAGATGTTTTGAAACTCTTTTGAAACATAGACGGATGTGTAACCACTGCAATTGAACATAACAACTACTAGCACAAACTGTAGAATGACATTTAATTTCCCTCGAGTTAAATAAAGGAAGTTTCCTAAAAAAAAAAAGAGGGATAAATCCCCCAATTGAGAAAAATATCCCCCAAATAAGAGAAATCCCCCAATAAGGAGATTTCTCAAATGGGAGAAATCCCCCAGGAGGGAGGAAAATCCCCCAAATAGGGGGAAAATATCCCAAGAGGGATAAAGTCCCTAGGACGGGGAAATATCCCCATTTATTTGGCATGTGCAATTTGGGGGATAAAATTATTTTAGGGAGGAGAAATTTAACACCCACAAAAAAAATTTAAAAAATTAAATTAGACACGAAAAATTATAAATTGAGGGTTTATGGACCTAAATAAAGAAAAATTAAATTTTTTAGCGCATTTTACAATTACAAAAAACTAAAATAAATAAAATATTTAAAAATGGGGTGTATGGTGGAAATTTAAGAAGTTTTGACATCTCATTTACAGACCAATTAGAGGTCATTTTGGCCAATGGATCACCTTAGTAGATGTGTGAATGAAGTTGAGATCTATCATATCTGATGGTAAGAAAACATTGTGAAATGAACGACCAGGATTGCATAGCATATCTGGATGCCTATCGAACGAACAAAATGAAGAGGTGCGATGAATAACCCATATCCGTTGAAGGGGGATTCAACAGCTAGTGTGAGGGGTATATAAGGAAACCCAAAAAGGAAAGAGAGTTCGAGCTGCGAGGGAGGCATCACGAAAAGATGAGGAAGATCGTGCGGTGGCCAGAGGATGTGTGGCGTGTGATCAAGGGTTATTGTGCGAGACATTTCTAGTGGTATCAGAGCACCCGTTCCTTAGAACCATATCTTGCGTATAAAACTTAGGATCTTTATAAGGTTTACGAGTATATGAGGTTAAAAATAGTACTGTAGGAGATATTTTGGAACTCCTCTAAAACATCTACAAATATGCAAAAATAGTAATCAAACATAACAACTGTTAGGACAAACCATAGAAAAACATTTAATTTCCATCAAGTTAGGGAAATGAAGTTTCCTAAAAAGAAGGAGAGGGGGGAGAATTTGTAACACTCCAAAAATTTTTGCGCTTAATTTGTAATGTGAACCCCTATTTATTTGAGCCCTAAAGTCGTTTAAAACTTCTTAATACTTCATTTTTTTAATTTTTTTGAATGAGTATCATATTTCGTATTTTATTTGATTGAATGATTTTTAAAATTAATTATTTTATTTTCTCGTAGGAAAATTATATTTTATTTATTATTTAAATAAATTTCAAAAAAAACAAAGAAAAATACGAAAAATCATGCGGGAAGGATCCTGCCTGTACGGGTTTTACACGCCGCACGCGTAGCCAGCTCAGAGCACGCATACTGTGTGCACGTCCCGTCCGCGCGGGGCATCTCATTTCATCTCGCACAATGCCCTGTGAACCGCCGGCTTAGGCAGCGTGCCACCGTCGTTAGGGCAATGTGCTACCATCATTTGGGTGGCGTGCCTATGATTTTTGTGTTACTGTCAAGTCGTATTGTCCATCCGTCAATCATCACATCTCACCTTTTTCGTTGACTTTCTCTCTCCTTGCTAGATGTTGTCACTAGCGCAAATACGACGGTCCCTATTTTCTATAAATAGGGATTCTTCCTTCACCATTTTCTCATCACTTCCATTTTCATTCTTCTATCCTCTAAGAGCTTTATAGAGAGAATGAGTGATCGAGAGAGATAGGGAGAGGAGGAGAAAAAGAAAATGCGTAGGAAAAATATCGAGGTTTTAGTAAAGAATTTAATATTTACTTTTGAATATCCTAATGAGTATTTTTAGAGTAAAATTTATAAAGTTTAAATTTAAGGATTGCATGATTAAATATTATGCCTAAAGGAAGTAATTTTACGTCTTGATGCATGTTTTATGATCGTTTATTAACTTATTAATTTGCATGTGTAATTTACATGATTTAATACTCGAAAAAAATATGGATATGTGATGCAATTGACGGTGAAAAAAATGAAATGATATATAAACATGAGAAATATATATTAATATTGACATGCATAATCCATATAGTGTTTCGTTAGACTTTTTATTTTTGAGAGGTTTCTGTTTCTCCCCTATCTGGTATGAAAAGATGTGAGAGGATCGCTTATTGTGAATGGTGGCGTACTCTCTGAAGAGAGTGGTGATGCGATATGATTGTATGGATTACCATTGACGAAATACAATTGTGGCCATAGTTAACATGTAGGACCACTATGGTTGGCACGGTCGTGATCATAGATCGTGTCATGATTTATCAAGCCTTAAATGTGTTATTGGTTTGGCAAGCTGCAAATTACTGTTATAAATGAAATGAATTAGTCATTCCACACGAGTAGTCAGGAATTCGTATTGCCCTGAATAGATAAAAGTTAGAATGACTTCGCACGAAGAACAACATAAAAGACGCACTATCATGATTTATTTGTTTTTTTTTATTTTCAGCATGATTGATTTAGTTGATATGATATCTTTAGGTTAATGATTTCTTTGAATAAAATAAATTATTTTCATAATTTAGTAAATGATATTGACATGACTTTTGATGGTAAATAATGATGATACTTTTAATTATTTTTAAAATCTTATGATGTTATTTAAATATTATTTTTTTTACTGAGTATATAGAACTCATATCTTTTTATGTCCCCTCCAAATGAGGAAGGTAATGAGGAATCGATCGCTGACCTACCCCTTGAAGTATTTGAGGATCTTAAGGATTCATAAACTTTTATGAGTGTATGACTTATCTCGGACTCTGATGAGTCCATTTATATAATGATAAAAGTGACATTTTTTGTATTTTGTTGTCGTTCTACCCTCAATTATATATGGAATTAAAAACTCATATGTTTTGTAAGAGATTTATAATTATTTGTTCTGTTGCATACACTTAACTATTATGCACTTGTAATCTGTTTCTGTATCTTGCACCCTTATATTTTAATTAGCATTTGAGATGTCACAGAATCCCCTAAGTGAGATAAATCTATTTGGAAGGAGATTTTCTAGAGAAAAAAAAATCTATAGTTGTGAGATTCCCTAAATAAAGAAATCCCTTAGGAGGAAAAATTTCTAAAGGAAGAAATCCCCTAGTATGGAGATTTCCCAACTTGGAGAAATCCCTCATAATGGAGGAAAACCCCCCAAGAGGGAGAAAATCTCCCAGGTGAGTGAAATATCTCCATTTCTTTGGCACGTGCAATTTGGATGATTAAATTATTTTAAGGGAAAGATTTATAACACATATGAATAAATCAAAATTATAACAGCGTGATAAAATTTCATAAAATGAAATTAAACATGAAAATTATAAATCTTTAAAGGTTTTCTGCAATTAAAAAGGACTAAAGTGGATAAAATATTCAAAATGGGTTCATAATTGAATTTCTGGAAGTTTTGGCACCTCAACGATGAGGTGTCAAAACGGATCAATAAGATGGGGCCATTTTAGCCACACAAATCGTTTAAGTGGATGTGTGAATGAATGGTTGAGATGTATAAAATATAACAGTTAGAAAATACGAAGAAATGAATAGTTAGGATTGCACCGCATATCTGTATGAGGATTAAATGACCAAAATGAAGAGGTATAATGAACAACCCATCTCTGTTGAATGGGGATTCAACGGTTAACATGAGGGGTAGTTAAGGAAACATGATTATGGTTTTCTTAGATAGAAGAGAAAGTCTGAGCCGTAAGAGAGGCAAAACGAGAAGAAGAGAAAAATCATGCAATGGCCAGAGAATGTACGGCTTGCAATTGAGGGTCAGTGTGCAGGACATTACAAATAATAATAAATTGAGATATGATACATTATAAATATATAATTCATGTTCTAAATTGAGAAGGTTGACATAATGTTTTTAATTTAATTTTATCGACATTGTTTATTTATTTATTAAAATAATAATATTACAATTTGATTTTATTAACAAAATTTTAATGCATCCACGTAGATGTAAACAATTTATTATATTTATGCAAAATTAAATACAAAACATTATAAAAGGCATTCTAATAATTATAATATTTATTGTTCACTAATATGCATAAAGTACGAAACTATAAAGAAAGCCATTATAATAATTATGGATATAATATTTATTGGTCACTAACATATAATAAAAATTATTGTAAAAGTATTTGACTAGATAATATAATATTCTTATTAGATAAATATTTTTAAAAATTAATCAACCATATACTTAGAAAAAGACACCAATGTATCTTAATTTTTATCATATGTGTGTGTGTGTGTATATATATATATAGAGAGAGAGGGAGAAGGAAAATCGTACTTTTTTCCATTTTTTAAATAGTTTTATTTTTAATACATTTTAATTTATGTTTTATTAAAATAATATAATTGATCGATAAATTTTTTCATAATTATGCAAAGTAATTGAATACTCTAATATACTATATACATAGTTAAATGATAATATTTACAATAATTATCTATTTTATTTTTAAATATAAAGTAAATTTAAATATTAATATTTATTTAAAATTCTAAATAAAATTTAATTTTTAAATAATTATTAAAGTATATAATGATGATCTATAAATTAAAATTTATTAAAAAATTATGTACTATATAAATTTTTGTATAAATTTCTAATAATATTAGTTTGTATATAACTATAAAAGTATTTCCAGAATTATAGCTGGGTGCTGAAAAATCTACTTATTTAATTATGGGTTATTATGTTAATGGATTTTACCAAAAAGTTCTTATCGAAGGTGTAAATCTCTTCTATTCCCATCTCTTTGTACCGTTTCCCTTCTCCCTTTCCTGTCCATGACTGTGCCGCCTTGGTTACCTCACCTCTTTCTCTCCCTCAACAACTTCATCTTCCTCTCTCCTCAAATCGATGGCTCTTCTCTTCTTCGTGCCCCCTTAGCAGACGCGAGCCCCTGCCTCGTCTTCTCTCCAAATCCAAAACCCTAGGGTTGTTTGCATCACCTCTTTAGCAGCTTTTGTTCGTCTTTTCAAGTCAGAAGGTCTAGGAACTCAGTGGTTACGCCAGACCGTCCTACCTCGCTCATTTTGCCTCGAGACAGATACGCAGGGAGTTGAGAAATAGCCGCTAGCTGCTTCTGTCTACCAGGCCAAGCCCTTCTCGCACTCACGAGCATTTATTTCTATGGGGAGGTAGCGTTCACTGCTTCAATTTTTCTCGTTCGCCTGTTTGTTGTGCTTTTGTGATGGACTTTGCAAAATGATGCCAAAAAAGGACTTCTGTTTTCATGGATGGACCTGCATGGATATTGTTTCGTTTGGTGGATTGTCATCGTCCATCTTCACTCTCGATTTGCTTGTTAGCTTGGGTAACACCTCTTTTTTTTTGTAAATGTCTGATGCGGTGGTCACAGGGGTTTGGATGGTGTTTGAAAGCATTTGTGTTCATGTGCTGCTCTAATTTATATATTTTATTTATTTTCTTTTTTCCTTCTCTCTCTGTTCGTTTCTGTCTTTTACTCTCAAGCGAAAGAAAATATGTTTCCTCACATGTTAAGGGATTTGTTTGAGCTGATATATACATTTGTGTGTATATATATGTGTTCTTCTTTCTTCTAATTTGAGGGCATACTTTGTACCTGTTCTGTGCCCTAATTTTGTTTATGGTCTTTCCTTTTGTTTGGATATTTTCCTCTCTGATTTTCCATGCAGTGTAGAATCTGTTATTTGTATGAGTGCTCAGTGCGTGATGTATATCTTCTCCTCTCTTTTGATTATTGCAGATCATTTACTATATCCTGGTCTTGGTATTCTTTTTATCTTCTTCTGGTCTGGTCTGAAATGTGTCCATGTGATATATATATATATATATATATATATATATATCTATAGACATGTATCTATGCAGATATATATATACATCGCTGTTGCTTGTTCCAACTGCTCATATTTCAATATACATATATATATATTTAAATAAATAACTATTAATAAATATCTTAATTTCTATATGTATACATATATAATTTTTATAAACCCACGCACATATACATCACTTGTACATTGTGCTCTAACCTCCTTGCCCTGGAAGTATGTACGTAAAATTTGTTGTTTCAATGGTCTCTTGCATGAAACTGAAGTTCAGGAGCTAGATTTTGTTGGTGATAGTACTTAGTTAATTTATTTTCCACCTTTCTCCTGTCTTTTCTTTAACTTTTTTAGGGATTATTCATGGCTTCTCTTTACAGTAGATAGATAGGGGTTGTTATAGCATTCTTTAGATTTTACTATTTCACCTTATCTCAGAATTGTTTCACATAGATGCCTTGGAGTGTTCTCCACCTGCTAAAGTTTTTCACATTTGGTGATGTTTAATTGGAAGACTTGATTTATAAGTTGCATATAGATTGCTTATGTTATATGTTTATGAGTTTATAACTTGTGTGTGTATTTTATCAATGGAATTCAGCTTAGTGTTTATGAGTTTATTCATGGCTACTTTTTATACTAGATAAAGGAGGTTATTATCACTTGCTATAAATGCCTGGTCTTCCCTGAATTGCGTGTTGCATTTGTTCACCTTATTCAGAATTGCTTCATGTACGTGCTTTGAAGTGTTTTAGAACTGCTAATGTTTATTTCCGGAAGATAGCTTATCCTCTAGTTTGCACTATTTCATACCTCGCAGGTCCTAATGTACAGAAGATAACATCAATTCCCTCTTTTGCTTTCCAGGGTTTACAAAACCCAATTCCTCCTCTTTTCTCAAAGTCCCATAATCCAAATAAATCCCTAAAATATCTCAAATTAGCAGTTTCTAGGGTTTATTGTTGGATCCTTTTGGACAAGTACTCCAATTTATAGGCTTCTATCTCATTGCTTAAATTCTGTAACTTTGTTTGCTGGGTAATTTTTTTTAATGAATTTTATCAGTGGAATTCAGCTAAGTGAGTTATATTGAGTGCTGTTGTGTTTAAGTGTGTCTTCTCCAATTTTTCTGCTCAAACTAGTGTTTAGTGGTATAGAAATTTGAAGGGGGATTTTCTTTTGTTTTGTCATTTTTTAGGAAAATGGTGGTAGTTGGTGGAAACTTGTATATGGATGTTTGTGAGGGTTTCAATTAGGATCTTGTTTATTTCACTAGTTCCGTATGGAACCAAATGAGGTATTTGCTTGGGGTGGGGAGTTTTTCCTCCGAAAAATTGTCATCCTTTGATGGGAAACAATACAGAGTTTTGTTTTACAAATCTTCAGATCCAGAAATTGAATCATTGTTCTTGGAGAAAGGAAGCATTTATGTGATATGCTCTTTAATAGTTTAATAATAAATATGCAGCAGGAGTTTTTATTCTCAAATTTATTTGTCTGAAATCCAAATGCGAGGGACAAAAAGGTTTGGGCTTGAAAAGTTTACTATCTTTTTCTGTGAAGATGAGATGTGTGTTACATTTCCTTGTTATTATTTGTATTGTATGCCTGTAGTTCTTGTTGCTGTTTATAATAATTTTAATAAAATCAGTGCACTTCAATGAAAATTTTGGTGTAGAGTAGCATTAGAGTGTTAATTGTTTGACATGCTTTTTGTTATCAAATTTCTCTTGCATCTAGCTCTAATATAGAATGAGGCCTGATAATTGTTTTCTTATTTTCTGCATTCAATTGGGGATTCCACAGAGACTTTTACTTGAAGATCAATCTCCTGTAAGTCGGGTGTGAAGGAAAGTTCGCACTGTTGCTGTGGTGTGTTGGATCATCCTTTAAGTTTTAGCATCAAATATGTATGGACAAGGAAATTACAACACTCAATTTGGGAATGGCCCTTTCACCCCCACACCTCCTCTGCCTGGTCAGCCTCTTCCTCCTCCTCATTTCCAGCTTGGTCAACCAGTACCTCCCCCTTCAGTAGTTAAACCAGGTCATCCTCCTCCTCTACCTCTTGCTGGTCAGGCACTTGCATCTACATATCAACATGGCCCTCAAACTTCTGCAGTTGGTCAGGTTCCGCAGGGTATGATGCCGCATGCAAACCAATCTTATATACAACCACCCCCTCCGCATCCTGGAATCATTCCAATGTCACATATGTTCTCAACCGTACAACATAACTCACAACATACTTCATATTTGGGGATTCAGAATGTGTATCTCAGACCACAGCAGGTTCCTTCTCCTCCTCCTCCTCCGCCTCTTGGTCACCTACCACCTCCTCCTCAGACTCATTCACAAGGACCTGCATCATATAGAGGTCAAATTCATTCAGTGCCGCAGCAGCGTGGTGGTCATGGTCCTTTGAGTATTCCCCGACCTCCTATACCTAGTTTTGTCGCTTCATCACCATTTGGAAATTTTGTACATTCTGCAGTTCCTCCTCCTCCACCTCCACCTCCACCTGCTCCTCCCTCTTCTCCGCCACCAATCCCACCCTCACCACCAGAAACCACCATTGATAAAGTTGTTGATCTGAATCAGGAAGGCGTAGGGGCCTCTAACATGGGTTCTTTAGTTGGAAAAAATAGTGTTGCATCAGAAAAAAGTGGGGTGGCAGATCTTCCCCTACCTCCACCTAAGCCAACTGAAGAGAAGGTTGCCCAAAGGATTGAAGTTCTATGCCGGTCTATTGCTAGTAATGGTCCTGATTTTGAAGATATGGTTCGTAGGAATGAATCTGGGAACCCAGAGTTCCAATTTTTGTTTGGTGGTGAGCCAGGAAGTGAAGCTGCAATTGCTCACGAGTATTTCCTATGGATGAAAAATAAATATCTTTCACCTGCACATAATTTGGATGAAGAGAAAAGTAATCCTCTACCTTTTGATCCATTGGGCAAGGAGTCTTCTGCCCTGATAAATGATTTGAGGCCTGCAGCTGGGTCTCATTCATCTGCAGATTCTGATATGGAGATGGAAGGTAAGTGTGACTGATTATGATCTTGCTGTCTAATACTAAAACATTTTCAAGTGCAAAAGTGTCTATATACATTTGTGCAAAGAAAATTTTAATCTTCTCATCCTCCTTTTTTTGATGCTTTTCTTGGTGATTTCAAGATGATATCACCCAGCCTGACCATGACCAGGGAGCGGCTTACACAATTGGAGGTCCAAATTGCAAATCTGATTTGAGCTCCAATGAGCATGACGTCAAAGAACAGTTGCCCACATCACAGAGTTTAGAAGATTTTAACTCATCGAAGGAAGCTTTAGCTAGTAAAGTGTCATTTAAGGGATCCTCAAAACTGCATGAGAATGAAGAAGGTCAGTTTTTAACTTTAACATCATTAAGTCATCAACTTCTATGCTATTTTCTGTTTCTAAGTATCAATACCCAATTTATTGGCAAGATGAGATATATTCTTGTGGCATATCAGAACCTACAAGCTGGTATCTCTGCAATTTTCTGGGGCTCTTTTGATTCTTTATCGTTTCAGAATATTTCTGGAGATATTTTTATGTCGACCTTTTGCAGAGGTCCCTCAGAGTTGCTTTTTCCCCTTAAACTGCAGGACCGAAAGTCAAAACTGATTCTGATGGCTTGGGATCTGGAAGGATGTTTTCTGTAGTTCATGGCCCAATCACAAATTCAACTGGAACTGCTGAACTGCCATTGGCTAGCAATTTAAAGAAATCTAACAATGCTAATTTATCCAATGATATAGTCCCGTTCGAGGCCTCTACAACTGCTGAAGAAAACAGTTCTAAAAAGGATTCTGGCCTTTGTAGTAAAGTTGGCAGCCCATTTAGACTTATACAGGAATATGCTTCTGATGGCTCTGAAAATGAGGCTGAGTCATATAAAATAGATGATAATCCTGTAAAAATTAATTTACCAATTAAAATGGGCTCTAAGAATCTCCACAAGGAAACTATATCTGGGCCCCTTCCTGAGTCAAGAGTGTCATGTAAAGGCCTGGGTTTTCCCCCAGATACGGAAGGAATGGTCAAGGGAACTTTGTTGGCATCTAGTGCAACTACTGCACTTGTCAGGAAAATGGATGAAAACCAAGTATTTGATAAAATTGGTGCTTCTCCTGAGGCTTTCCAGCAAAAAGATTCCACGACAATACTCATGTGGCTTCTACTTCTACTGAAAAGCTTCAGAAGGACAACGAAGAGAAAGATGTTAATTCTGTTGCAACTCAACCTAAACTAGACAGGTTTGGCAGATTACTCAGAGAAGATGCAAGTGACAGTGACTCTGATAATTCACGGTATGGTGGTGGGCGTCGGGGAAGAGGCAGAAATTGGAGCCGTAGTCATAGCCGGAGCCAGAGCCGGAGCCGGAGCCGGTCACCCCTGAAGAGAAGGAGGAGGAGGTGGAGTCCTAGGAGGAGTCCAAGGAGAAGTCTGAGGAGGAGAAGGGAAAAGCGGAGCCAATCTCGTAGGTATGCATCATTGGTTGTACTTCTAGTGGTTATATTACTGGTAATTTATTTATTGAAATTCTACAATATCATAACTTAAAGAAATTTGGTTTCCCTACAATCTATTAGACTCTGTTCATGATTTATATAAAAAGTTACAATTTTTCTGGGTATTGTTTTAGCTGGTCACCTAGAGATCAAAGAAGCAGGAGCAGGTCGCCTACTTTTAGACGTGTGGGTGATGTTGGTTATGATAATACAAGATGGAACAAGGGTCGCAACCAAGTATGTTTTGACTTCCTTCGCAGTCGTTGCCACCGTGGAATGTCTTGTCGTTTTGAGCACCATGACCCGAAGGGTGGTGGATCAAGGCGCAACCGGAGCAAACAAGAGTTTATGGAAGTGCTTCCCAGTTCAAAGACTTCTAATATCAGTGAAGAGATCAGGCAAGTTGCATCAGAAGCATCTGATCATGAGCATGATTATGTGAAGACTGTTGATACGCATCTCCCTCCAGATATGCCAACTTGCAGCTTTGATGCCACTAGGGTTTTGAATGTTGATCAGGAAATGGAAAATTCCCTGGGTGATGCTCTGCAGTCTGACTATTATGGTAAAGCTGGTCAACTAAATGAATCTCACAGGATCGCATCCGAAACTTCAAGAGAGGTTGTTGCTAAATTTGCAGCCAACACAAGTGGTGCAA